TCTCTCTCTCTCTCTCTCTCTCTCTCTCTCTCTCAACGACCCACACATATTGTGAATTTTGGTATTATTAGTAAAAACTCCTACATTTGCACACAATTTATTGTATCGTAAAATAATTGACTCAATTTATAGTGTATTAACCCATACTGTAGTTAATAGTATTGGTGTAAAGAATTTATCAAATAATGACTTCATTGACAATAAAATAGATTTGATTTAATTATAGGCAGTATTGAAGCGAAGAGACGGCAGAGGCATAAGAGGCGCCGCATAATAATGTTGGTCCTCGTTGTGGCCATTTTCGCCATTTGCTGGTATTTAATCCACTTCTGAGTCCTGAGACCGAGAGCTCCGGCCATCGATTATCGCATATAAAGTATACACACGAGAGTCACTTATTTTGATCTTATTTTTTGTAGGTTTCCTCTCAATATATATCATCTTCTGATGGACTCACAAGTCGTAACCTATAATTACAAGATATTTATTATGGTATCAATTGATTCAATTATATACATCTTTTTATCGCTGAAATTTGTTGGTTGCATAAAGTCTTGATATCATTATCTAAACCCATGTATAGTTTCTTTATTATAGAGGGCTTCAAATGATGGCTTCATATTTCAAACTCATTTTGAAGCCATCACTTGATATGAGTGTAAATTTTCATTAGGGTTTGAATTTTATAGTGAGATATAGATTTTATCATTATTTAAAACTGTTTTGACAATCTAACTTATTTTGCATAACAATATTTTGTTTGTTTTATTATATCGATGTGTTTATATTAAACAGCGTTATATTTAATTAAAAAATATTTTCACAATTTTTCAAATACTAAAGTTTTTTTGCATCAAAAATTCTGAGAAAATTTTATTATAATAACACAGAATATGTGTTATATTTGTATTTTTACTAAAAATAATTAATAAACAAAAAATGCAATTTATTTAATGATAAAGTATTGCAAAAACTGATCGGTATTTTTCAAACAATTTAAATGTCATTCAAAATTTTGTTTGGTATTATTTTTGCATGAAATAAAGTTATGCTTTTATATTTTTATTATTCATTATTTACTAAAAACATGGTCTAATTTCCTATTCCTTAAATCTATAGGTTATAGACTATAGGAATTAAACTATACTTTTAAGCCCCTGTAGTATAGCATAGGACAGGATTTTAAAATTATAATTTATAATTTATTTTTCAAAAATATACATTATTAATATGTATTATATTATATTTTATAAAATTTACTTTTTGCAATATTTTACCATGATTATAATTGCAAAATATATCTACAGATAGTTGAATATTAAGAAAACCTTGCTGATTCGTATAAAAAATAATTAATAGAAAATATAAAAGTTCTGTACAGTACAACTAAATATTTAAAACTATTTTCAATTTTAGTGCCACTGGTTTGCCATGTCGTCCGTTTGGTAAGTATTCAACATCTACTCTAAAAGTATATTAGAATTTAATAAACAAAAAACATTGTAATAAATCCGACCTAGTTACAATCCATTCATCTATTGCTGGCTGAATAAGACATTCCGAAAGGGGGCCAAACGGGTGATCACAACCCTTATGTGCAATTGTGTGGCACTCGAGGCCTCAAACAGCGAAAACATATTGAGAGACAATAACGCGGAGAACACCCGACAGACCGTTGAATTGAATATCATTAACAATTCACCCGAAAATGATAACAATAATGTTATTTCACTTTAGATTTATATGTTTTTTATTTTTCTTGTTCAACATTACGACTAAAAAGCCATTTATTTGCGTTTAGATGTGACATAACACAACATTTTATTCAATTGTATTTTTAAATTAGCATAAATAAGTTATATTTTGCATCCAATGACAACACGTTCACAATTACATGAATTAAAAAATAACAAAAATCGTTACATTTATTTATACAAAATGACATTTATATAATATAATCATACAATCACTTACATTAAACATATTCTTTGTAATTACAATATAATAAAAAGTATTGTATCCATTGTTACAAATATTTAAATAATTTTTAAATAAAATAAAAATTACATTTAAATTAAATTATTATATTGTTATTAAAAATCATAACATATTTACAAATTGTCTCAATTAATATTACTTATATACTGTACTTACAAAAATAGTATACATATTTTTATTATATTGTATTTATAATTTATCATAAATTAGTTGAATTTAAAATTATTAAAAATAAAATTTATAAATAATACTTAAATAAATATAAATGATATGTTAATAGACAAGCAATAATGAAATTATTATTTTGTTGTAAAAGAATTGTGTTAATTGTTTATTAACGCATTCCTAATTGGCGAACTGATAATCAGTTGACCAATTAAGATTCATGTTACAATAAAAGTTTGAATTACTAATGAGTATTGGCTGATCAATAATTCTTTAAGTTGCGATTGATTAAAAGTCAAATTTACCAAGATGAGTC